TTTTACAAGCACAGAGAGCCGCATCAGATGGATGGAAGAGCCGCGGGTTGTTTTCTCCAGGACCAGAGAGGACGCAAACTCAATACATCTCTTTTATTGTGAGGTAATAATTTCTCAGAGTTTTGCGGTTGCGGGCGGGAGTAGACATGCATGCTACGGGTGCGGGTGGGAGTGTAACACACACGTTGCGGTTGCAGGCGATAATGGTCAGAAATTCAGCGGGAGCGGGCAGGAGCGGGATGAAGAAAACAGTCCCGCGCAGGGCTCTACTGCTGCGTTTGTGTTGCACTTTTTTTATGAATTCGATTAAAAATAAAGGCACCCGGCCCGTGTCCGAGGTAATTACACAGTCGTTGGCCCGAAGCCCGGCCCGAGGGCTGTCGGGCCGGGCCGACCCGAGGGCTTAGGGCTTCACTGCAGGGCTCTACCTCATAATGTAATTTGTTGTTAAACTAAGCTATAAAGGATTTTACATCTCTGGGCTACAGTGAATGCAGCGTGGCTCAAAGTATAAGGTAGGAGTGGGAAGAAAGCAGGATTATCCTATTTTAGTTCTGTGATTTCCATTTGCTCACTCAGTGACATCATTTCACATTTAACTGAGTCCAAACACATGCCAAAGCTGTGTTTATGATACCAACATATTTACTGTCACATAAGCAGAAACGTTGACACACACACACACACACACACACACACACACACACACACACACACACACACACACACACACACAAACAGGTTGTTCCATATTCCCTAAATCCTCTCTTTGCGGGTTCAACATCTGAACTAAGAACAGATGTGAAAAGAATGAAAAGAGGAGAAAAAACCAAACACGCAGAGAAGCTGGAAAATATTGTGACCCGTCATCAAAGGAAGGCAGTTCCTCTGATTAAAGACACCTATCAGCAGTTTGGTCATCTTGATGAAGGAAACTTATCTGATACAACAGCCAGCTGAAACAGCATCAGAGTTACTAAGAAGGAAACTCAAAAGAAGCAGAAGTTGAACTCAGGCTAACTCTGTTAGTTTTTCTTTTCTGAAACAGTGAGTAATCAAGGAAAAAGCCAGTTGTATCCTTCTCATCCTTCTTTCAGCCTTGTTCTTCCCTCCTCCTCTTTTAGACAATACTAAAACACTGAACCGCACTGCCAAATGAGACTTTGGTGTGTTCCCTTGCTGGGCTGCGTCTAGAAGCACTGGGCTGACCTCCAAGCCTGTGGTCACTGGAAACACTGGTGAATGCTGGGATAATACTGGACTCTCCTTCCACCCTGTGTTCTCATGCACACATACAGTCTGACAGCTGAGACACAAACGTGAATACAACGGAAAGACAACACAGCCCTGGTGGCTCTTCTCTGAGTCAGCTCAACTGTTCTGAGTTCTGAAACAAAAAATAAAAATAAGCATCCATTTTCCCCCCAGATGATGCTTTTGACTGTCATCTGAAAGGTGAGGTCATGTATGCACAGGGAGGTCAGACTGACATTTTTTGTCCTGCATGAGCTGACTCACATTGGACCCTGTTCAATCAATGTGCTGCAAGTTCATCCTCTAATTACTGTCGTGAGCCCCCCTCACCTCCTCTCAGCAACTTATCAATAACACACATCCACCTCTTTCCCAGGAGCCATAAATCTTTGGAGCAGAGCCTCCATCTTTCCCAGAGTAAACCACGCAGAGGATGCCTGGACTCATGTGTTAACAATTGTTGACAGATGACCCCACCTCCACCTCCACCTCCACCCCCTTTTACTGCAGGTTTTCAGAAAAGTGAATTGCGCTTTAGCATCACGCTATTGTATTAATTCCTGTTTCAGTGTGCATCTCTAACTCTTCCAATTGCAGATCATCATCGCTACCTCTCTTGTTGTTCAGCTACTGTCTCCTTTTGTTTTATGACTCTGTGTTCTTTTTTCTGCAGGGAATGGGTGTCATGTCTTGGGTATGAAGGGAAATAACCAGCAGAATTTTTTATGTGGGATTTAGAAGATGGAGAAGTGTTTTATTTAGTTCAGAGTAGAGGGGCAGATGGAGCGGCAGCTAGGAGTTATTGGAACCTGGGTTATCAACAAGAGAATGATGTGTGCTTAAAATAAAGGAAACCCACCCAGAGCGTGTTCATCATTCAACTCGAGACAAAGTGAAATACCTTGTGACTGCCTCAACAACAAAAGGAATTACAGACTTCTTATGTCGGATCGAGCTGTAGAGGGTCTTTAGGCTGCGAGGGGAAATGAAAATTTAACAGTGACAATCTGCGTTGTACAGATAGAGAAGGCTAAGTAGGAAAATAACAGTATTAATGAGAAGGATTAGAGAAGTGGCTGAAAAAGCAGCAATGCTTCATTTTATCTCAAAGGTGCAGATACAGAGTTGACAAAAAAAAGGAACTGTATCTTGGCAGGGCGTGTAGATTTATGTGCACGAACATTTCTGCTAGCATGCACCCTTTACACAGACTGAGACGGTGCTGAACTATGATGAGCGTGTGTTCTGCATTTCCAACGTCCAGGTTTCTGTCCGGCGCTGAAGCAAACGGGGTGTGGCAGTCCCATTACCAGTTTGTCCTCTGCTGTCTTACCACTGCAACACAGTCAACAACCATATTCTGTTGTTGGTGTCAACGTGACATGCACTCGTACATCATGCATCTTAATTCAGCCACCTACTATTGAAGAGTGTTTAACAGACATGGACAAACTTGTTAGTACCCTTCGGTCAATGAAAGACGAAACCACGGTGGTCACAGAAACAACTTGAATCTGACAAAAGTAATGATAAATAAAAGCTCAATGAAATTTAACCAATGAAAGTCAGACATTGCTTTTCAACCACGCTTCAACTGAATTATTAAAAAAAAATAACCTCATAGAACTGGCCTGGACAAAAATGATGGTGCACTAAACGCACTATTTTGTTGCACAACCTTCTGAGGCAATCACTACAATCAAACGATTCCTGTAGCTGTCAATGAGACTTCTAAACCTCCGAGTAGGTATTCTGGCCCACTCCTCATGAGCAATGTGGTTAATCAGAAACAATAAAGGAGCAATTACATCCTACACAGAGAAAATGAGAGAAAAATAATTGCGACAATGCTTAAAAACCAGAAGTGGCCTTGCAAGTTCTTTGTAATCTGCAGAATAATTTTTAATTGCATCTTGGATCATCCATCCATCCATCCATCCATCCATCCATCCATTCATTTTCTTACGCTTATCCGTGGTCAGGTTGCGAGGGAAACAGCTTAAATCAAGAGCTTTGGGCCAGCTCTTCTGGGGGATCCCAAGGTGTTCCCTGGCCAGCCAAGAGACATAGACCCTCCAAAGTGTCGTGGGTCTTCTCCTGGTCGGACGTGTCCAGAAAACCTCACCAGGAAGGCATCCCGGAGGCATCCTAATCCTATACAGATGCCCGAGCCACCTCAACTGTCTCCTCTCGATGTGGATGAGCAGCAGTTCTACTCTGAGCTTCTTCCGGCAGACCGAGCTTCTCACCCTATCTCTAAGGGAGAACCCAGACACCCTGCAGAGAAAACTCCTTTTGGCTGCTTGTATCCGTGATCTCGTTCTTTTTGTCACTACCCAAAGCTCGCGACCATAGGTGAGGGTAGGACCGTAGATTGACAGGTAAATCGAGAGCTTCACCTTCCAGCTAAGCTCTCTTTTCACCACGACAGACCAGTACAACACCCGCATCACTGCAGATGCAGCACCAATCCGCCTATCCATTTCCCGCTCCAGCTTTCCCTCACTCGTGAACAAGACCCCGAGATACTTAAACTCCTCCACTTGGGGCAGGTCCTCTTCCCTGATCCGGAGAAGGCATTCTATTTGAATCATGTCAAATAGAAAATCATTGTCAAATCAGTAAAAAATCATCAGCAAGGATGACTCATATTGCATCATGTTGCATCACACCTCACCGTTAATGTATCATATTGCTGGTATTGTATGGCTGGTATCCTATGGATGGTATCGTATCACTGGTATGTATGTATGGTATTGTATATATGGTCTTGAATGGCTGGTATCGTAAGGCTGGTATTGTTGGTGGTATTGACTGATTTTCAGTCACTAAAATTACATTCTTAGAACTCCTTTAGGATGAGAAGCAAAATGTTTTAGAAATCTAGAAGTCCACCTGCCTTTGGTTGAACATATCAGGTCCTCCAGAGTATGTTGTATGCAGGGATGGATTTACAATCATGTGGTGGTCCTTATAAGCTACTCACCCATTAGAAGAAATAAATATTCATCTTCTGTTCACAATGCAAATATCTGATCCATACATGGAACAAAGAAGGTTGCAATGGAAGGCAAGCATTTTGAAAGGCAGCTCATTTATCTACTAAAATGTTCAAACCAACCACAAGTCAGGGCTCACCCGTGACACATGCAGAGTTTACATCATAGTAGGCAGGTGGTTACTAATTTTATTTATGACTTCATTCATGATTTAATAAAGAGAAATGAAGATTTATCTGTTGAATTCTGAAAGAAAATGATCTCCAAAGTACTTGCTAAACTTCTCCCTGTTACTTCCTCTGAAGGACGAACTTCTTCCACTCAGCAGAGTTGTTTTGCAAATGGGATCCCAGTGTTGTAGCAACCTTGGCGTGTCTGTTATGAGAAGAAAAAGTAAAAATGGAACAAACATGTATAGCTGTTTGTGTGAGTGCTTGTAGTCCAAATAGGTTTGCATGCTACAGACATGTGCAACGCATTAAATCCTGGCAGACTGTCAGCGTCCATAAGTTAGATTCATAAATACAGTAGAGGTCCAGGAGACCGGCTCTTCTGTCCAGGTGCTGCCAAAGATGACGTACTATTGAACTGAGACACTCTTCTGCAAAGGACTCTGACAAACAGAGGAGCTGGTGGTCAGTGACAGCAGATATATCTTTGACAGTGTGCTTCTGCTGTCCTTCAAATTCCGCTTCCTGTCTTGTTTTTGCTGGATCGCAACGCAGAGTCTCTTGATCCTTTGCCCAGAATGAGCTTTTCCTCTTTTCTGTGCTTGGTGGTGTTGCGGTTGATGGCAGCGTTTGAGTGTGTGTGGGAGAGAGGAGGTGAGTGGAGACCTGGCACATGGCCTGACTTACCACTGTGCACAACGCATCATGCCAAGGTTCTTTTAATTAGGCTGATCAAGTGTTTTGTGAGAGCTGGACCGGAGCTCCACGCCGCTAACATACTCCAACGCAGCTCCGAGTCCCGTTATCTTTCACATGTTTCCTCTGGGCTTTATTTTTTTTATTAACACTTAGGTATTTGTTAAATGTTGTGTTGAAACAAAAACTGGCGATGCTGTATTTTATTCTTTCCGTTTATGTTTCTGTTGAATGAACATCAAATTAGTGATTACATGTTGACGTACTCAGAAGGTACTCATCCTGAGCCACATGTTTACCGTCAGACGTTCAGATCCTGTTACAGTCTGAATATCTGAAAAAGAGAAGAAAAATGATGATTTCTTTTCCTGATGAAGTCAAAACATCAGCACTTGTGAAAGTTTGGTAAAAAGATCGTCTTTTCTCAAAAACCACTAGCACTTTCTAACTTCTTCTCTCCTTCTTTGTTTTAAAAGAAAACAGCACCTGTGCGCTCGCATGCTGGAGAACACTGTCCATCGCCGATGTTGTGCGCTGCTGTTGTTTTAGGTTGCCACGGTAACAGTCGTCTTCATTTCTTAGGGGGGGCCCAGAGGCTTTTCAGTTGCATACTTTATATGTGGAATGTTACTCCCCAAAAACGGTGATGTGCTTTTGTGTGAGTGCGTGGGGGCGGGAGGACGACGGGGTTGGTGAAGAACAAGCGGCGCAGCTGATGTTTTGGTTTACGTCTGCAGACCTCTCCCCGCTGGCTGTCCTGTCAGACACACACACCTGTTGAAACTGCATCAAGACTTTTACAGGTAAACATAAACAAATGAGTTTTTCTTAATAAAACAAAATGTTTGGAAGAAAGCACTTTTTTCAATGTAATGCATTTTGTTACATTTTGTTAATTTCTACATTTTTTCCTGTATTTTTCAGAAAAAGCGTTCAGTTACAAACCCATTCATCCATTCATTTTCTTTTACCCACTTACCCACGCAAGGTTGTGGGGGGCTGGTTCCTATCTCCAGCAGTCTCCGGGCAAACAGGGTACACCCTGGACAGGCTGCCAGTCCATCGCAGGGCAACACAGAGACACACAGGACAAATGACCGCACATGCGCACACACGCGCACACGTGCATGCGCGCACGCACACACACACACACCTAAGGACAACTAGACCAATCAACCTGACAGACTTGTTTTTGAGCTGTGGGAGGAAGCCGGGGTACCCGGAGAGAACCGACGTGTGTGCAGGGAGAACATGCAAGCTCCTTGGCAATAGCGCAAACCACCATCACATCACCCCGCTTCTCCTCCAGCTTCATTGGCTGCCAGTCAACTTCAGGGTTCATTTCAAGATCCTGGTTCTGGTCTATAGGGCCTTACATGGACAAGCACCATCTTACATTGGTGATCTTCTTAGTCCCTACACCCCCAGCAGGTCCCTGAGGTCCAGTGATCAAAGCCTACTGGTTGTGCAACGCACGAGGCTAAAGGCCAAAGGTGACAGATCATTTGCTGCTGTGGCCCCCGGACTCTGGAACTCTCTCCCCCTGAGCCTGAGATCAGTGGACTCAGTGGTCTCCTTTAAAAAGCAGCTGAAGACTCACTTGTTCAAGCTGGCTTTTGTATGACCTTCTTCACCACTCTCTCTTTATTCTGCTCTCCCCACCTATTCCACCTTCCTCAGGATCCACTGATTTCCCTCTTTTCTATTCACTCTATCTCTTTCTTAACATTTTTTCTTTTAAATCCCAATTGCCTATTTTTGCTCATTTTAAATATATTTTAAAACATTTTATAAATGCTTTTTTAAATTTTAACTTTTTTTTGTGTGAAGCGCCTCGCGATTTTTATCTTGAGAGGTGCTATAGAAATGATATTTTCTTCATCTTCTTCACTGTGCAGCCTCAGTCACAAATCAAAGAATATTTTACCCTTACGTTTATTTTTTGACAGTTAAGGACATCCTGATCAATATTCATTTGATACTGAGTCAGGTTACCTTTTGGCTCCTTTCCTGGGAATATTTTGGTTCTTTGTGTTTTTGCTAAACCTGGTTTCCACATATGAAAAGTAGGGATGTTTAAATCTAATCTTGAGTTTTGGTTGCTGTTTACAATTTAAAAATTAATACTGGTGTGATTGTAACTGGTGAAACTCAGCCCTGGATCTCTATTGTTGACCTACTTTCTATATTTTGTGTCGGCTCTGCCTTAATGTGGTCCAACTCTTTGCTGAGCAGATAATGTCCTTTCATCAGGAGGTGCTCATGGAGACCAGTATTCCATTAAAATGTCAGCTTGTTTCTATTTAAAAATAAATCCTCCTCGTCGATATGATTAGAAAGTCAACTTAGCAGTGGGATGAGCTCATTGTCTCTCAGATTGCCAGTGAGTGTTTTTATTTCTAATGTGATAAATGTGGGTCAGGGCACCTTCAGCTTCTGTTTTCATAAACATGTTTAAAGCATCATAAACATGGTAATCTCATTAATGCGGCTTTTGTTCTTATGACAATATCTGACTGTAAAATGAACAATGTATCACAGCTTAAAATGTGGTAATGGCATATTACATTAAACTACAATGAATTACGGGGAATCTGTCTCTACTGTAAATGAGTTAAGAATAACAAAAATAAACTAAGGACAAGAAGGATTTGATTCCAATGTTTTTCAAACAGGAGAACCAAAATAATGGTTAAAGACCAAGTTCACTGACAAACTGTTTTTATTTGTTATTTTTGAAAATGATCTGTCACTCTGAGTCTCTATCCCTACTTCCTGGATTAGCTGCTAATAGAAAACAGATGGGGAAACGCTCAGATTAGAAAAGCCTGACAGATCTATGTCACACTGAAAATAATCATTCATGGACTCACCCATCTTGGCTCACAGGGGGAAAGGCTGTTGTTGGTTTAGCGTCCAGGAAAGAGCAGAGCATTTCTTAGCTAGTAGATGCTAACCATTAGCATTAGCAACTCCATCACATTGCAGAACTTGTTTAGACTTGTATTATTTGTGGAGATAAAACATCAATGTTGCAGAGAGAACAAAGTCATTGGTAGAGTTGTGCTGCCATAAGTCAATAAGAGATGAGATGCCCAAATATCAGGAGATAAGACTCCATATTCTGCTGTCTGCTGCTCGCCTTTGATCTGGATCACTTCTACTTCCTGAAACAGGAGCACCAGAACTTTTTTTACTGCAGAGATCGACTTACTTTGATGCGTAATGGTCACTACAGTGGACAGGTACTCAAAATTGTTATTTATTTGTTTTTGCTATTAAGCACAACTGTTGAAGACTTTATTGCATTTGAGTCCCTCCATTTGGACTTCAGTAAGCCAAGCCAACATATTTCATGTTCAGAATGCACGCTGTCCACCAAGGTGGATATGTAATAAATTATTTGTAAATTATAAAATTTAACAACAAATATTTGTTGAAATTTGTTTAGTTCACACCTAAAGATGAATGAAAAAAATTGTTAAAAAATCATGGTTGAAGATTTCATAATTCATGCATCAAAGGGTTAATTTATACTAGAGACCACTGCAAATGTGTTGATGAAACAAGTGAACTTGGTTTTAAAGGAATCAATAAAGGTGAGTTGAATTTTTCTATCATAATTTTAGGAAAAACTAGACAACAATCAACATTTGTTGTTTTATTGACTTTAGAATTTTTTTCAGTTCCATTTATTTTATGCCTACTATTCAGGATCCAGAGCTGATAGAAGCTATTCTGACACAGATGAAAATACCTTAAAGTCTCTTTCTAGAGTATTTCTCTAACCCGATGGCACCATCTAGTGGCTGACAAGCATATCACGCGAAAAGTCTTGCTCAGTTTTTTTGAAGATGGCAACTTCACATTTCTTGTTTATTAACGGGCTTCTGTAGCCTACAAACAGAGCTACAACACGTTGTACAAGTATTATTCTCATGTCATGTTGTGTTATCATATATTAAAATTTAAAAGACTTACTTGTCCGTGAAAAGTTCATCAACTCCGCATAAGACGAGGTGCTTCTTAAATTTGAAGCATATAAGCGGTAGTCTAACATTGTTGGTTAGTTCTGGTTGGAGCTCAGTTTCCTATTGCACGGAGCTCTGCGGGGCAGGGGGTGTGCGTAGCAAAAAAAGAAAAAAAAAAGACGTATTGCTTAATTATATCACAGTTATATAAGACAATCATTTTACGTATTTCAGAAAAATCATACATCATTTCTGAAAGGGGAAAACTCTGGAAAGATACTTTAATCCAAAACATGTGATGGGCTTGTAACCTCCCTTGTGATAATATATGCTGAGTTTACACTTTAGGCCAAATAAAAGCAAATAATACCATTTTACCAACTTCACCCTAAAGTCACACGAGCTACCATACCAGAGTCAAAGAAAGGAACACTAAACCCTACCAACACCAGTAATAGGATCACTTATTCAAAACTTATATCAGAGAAACCAAGTTAAGCATCAGAAGTACATCATTTGCGGTGAAAAACTAATCGGTTGGAATGTAGAAGATTCCATGGTTCCCTGCAGCCCCTACATCCTCCTTCCCTTCAAACCAGAAGTAAAAGAGAAAGTTAAAGTGCTTCGTTACTAGCACAGACTCAGCACACCCCTGGGAGTCATACGGATGAGCTTCTGAACTGAAACGTCCTTAACCTCCCTCCAGCACCTCCTCACAGTCCACTGCCCAAGTCTGACCATAAATCACAAGGCTGAAGAGGTCACAGAAGAAGAAGATGAAGAAGAAAATATCATTTTTATAGCGCCTCTCAAGATAAAAATCACGAGGCGCTTCACAAAAACAAAAAATGTAAAAATATAAAAAAGAATTTAGAAAATGGTTAAAAATATATTTAAAATGAGCAAAAAATAGACAATTGTGATTAAAAAATAAAATGTAAAGAAAGAGAGAGTGAATAGGAAAAAGGGAAATCAGTGGATCCTGAGGAAGGTGGAATAGGTGGGGAGAGCAGAATAAAGAGAGGGTGGTGAAGAAGGTCATACAGAAGTCATCTTGAACAAGTGAGTCTTCAGCTGCTTTTTGAAGGAGACCACTGAGTCCACTTATCTCAGGCTCAGGGGGAGAGAGTTCCAGAGTCTGGGGGCCACAGCAGCAAATGATCTGTCACCTTTGGTCTTTAGCCTGGTGCTGCACAACCAGTAGGCTTTGGTCACTGGACCTCAGGGACCTGCTGGGGGTGTAGGGACTAAGAAGATCACCAATGTAAGATGGTGCTTGTCCATGTAAGGCCCTATAGACCAGAACATGGACGTCACTAGGATTGAGATATAGGGGGGGCTTAGCCCCAGGAGCTTGACCTCGAACGTTTTTTGTCACACCCTGCAAAAACTTTGTCAATTAATTCATTATCTGAAGAAAATCTAACAAAACCTATTATTTTATCACTTTCCTTTCCTTTCCTACTTTTGTGCATTTTCTCTCTTCTTTTTATAAAAAATAACACTTAATCAGTTAATTAGTGGGGTCTATGTTGAAGAAAGATTTTATGTAAGTCCATTAAAAATTTGATATGTTATATTTCCAAATAAAGCTATTCATTTCAGTCTACTGCACTTAACAGGGGGAAATGTTGTAGTCATTTATTTGTTTAATTACAACTTGTTTAATTATAAATGTTACTTAAATGTGACAATAAAGAACAAATGAATAATTGTCAAACTTTTATTCTGCCAAATGAGTGTGCAGTTGACAGTTTTAATATATGAATAACACTGCTATGATATG